ACTATGTACATACCAAAATTGTCTACTTTGATGTATTGTAATGTTTTTCTTGATGTTAATCAAATGTGGTTATTATTTGATGTGATTTGTATTTTTGTAAAATGGGTTTATAAGTCTTGATAAATGTCTGTATTTGGGGTTTTAGACATTTGATAACTACGTCATATGTGTCGGTTATTTTTATGATTTATCTTATAAATGGAGATTATTTTAGTGTTAAAAGCATTTTTAGTCTATTTGAGTTGGAAAACGTGTATTGTTGTGCTATTTGCATATTTTGAAATATAAATGGTACGTTTTTTAATTGAAAAATAATTTGTTCCAACCAATGATGAGTTTTTGAGTTAATCGTGTATTTGGAGCATGTAATTTCTTAAACGCCAGTTAAGTATGGATTTTTATTTAATAGTCAATTTAGTTGTTAAGCTTTTGGCTTAGTTTTTACATAAATGAGTCTTGGGACATTTTTTCGATTTAAATTACTCTATGACGAGCTTTTGAAGTTATATACAATTATGTCATATTTATTTCTGAATTGCTACGTTTTGAGTGCGTTGGTCATCCATTTTGGATCATTGTAAATTGAGAATTTTATCGAATATGAGTATGGTGGTTGGACCACTAGTCTTTCATTTTGAGTTACAAAGTATATATCACTATTTGAATCATATGATTATTCTCTATTTGTCATTATATATTGGATGATCTGTTCAAGTAGACACTAAAAGAGTTGAGTTTTGAGGTGCTACCTTGGAGGTATAAGAACTCTCCCGCTTGAAGTAATGCCTTGGAGGTAGTCCTTAAGTGTGCCGAGCCTTGAGGTGTTACTAGTGGGAGTAGACACTAAGGTCGATCGACTCTTGAGGTGAAACTTGTTAAGGAGTCGTATAGATTCTTAGGATTTAAGTCGTGAAGTGTCATGCGACAACGTTGTTCGAGTGACATACTTTTGTGCTCCCATCATTCTCAATGGACAGGGTCTCCCCTGTTACTGTTAAGTGTTATTTTTTGATAGTGTATTATCCATGTTTTTAGTATTGCTTGGGTTTAGTGAGAGCCGCTTTTTATGGTTTTGATATATTGGATTCCCTCAATGTATTATTGTCCTAGAATTTAGAGTTTTATTCATGTTTTCAGTGATTGAATATTAACCCTTATTTGCCTTTCGTGTGAATATTGGGGTCTTGGTTTCATTTTTTATGGATGTTTTGATTAACAAGTTTTCATCACGAAAATGGTAGGTTTTGTAAAGATATCACTTTTTATCCTAAATACTTTTTCTATTGAAAATTGTGATTTAAATAATATTCTTTCCGTTTTACCATTTTATATAACCGGTAAATCTGCTTGAACTCATTAGGCGTTAAGCCTAACTTTTTTTATTGGCATGTGCATCAGGTCGTTGGGGTAATGGCACTAGCGACACTATGATGTGTCGAGTGCTAATTAGAGGCACGAGAAGGATTTAACTATCTTGGGAACATCCTTCTTATGTTGGAGATAGCTGACTGTTGTTGTGTTTTAGTAACCCTGTCTTTTTAATGTAGACTTGTACAAGGTTGGTGACATATTATACTGATGTTAAAACTTAGATTGCTATTATAGGTAATCAATTATTGAATTTTAGAAAGGGGTTAAATCCTCATTTGATGCATTATTAGAATTTTTAAATCAGTTGTTTTTTTTTTTAATTTGAGGGTGTTACACTACATGGCTTTTAGAGACTATTAATAAACTGTACTGGGCCTAGATTGACTGTCATAGGTGATAACAAACTATATTAGGCATTGAAGGGTCGTAATGGACTTACTGGTTGTTAATGAACTATATTGGATCTTGAAGTGCTCTAGTGACTCTTAATCAACTGTATTGGGTTTTTTTATGGGCTAAGTGACTCTTAAAAAACTTGATTAGGTTTGTAATAAGTTTTGATGGGTCGTATCAGACTCGGTGACTCTTAAAGAATTTTAATGGATTTCATGGGTTTTAGTGATTCTTAACGAATATGATTGGTCCTTGATGTGTCGTATTGAACTTAATAGTTGTTAATGAATTGTATTGTGCCTGCATGGCTTTCAACGACTATTAATATTTTTTTATTAGGCCTTGATTGGTTGTCATTAGTGGTAATGAATTGTTTTGGGCTTTAATGGGTTGTATTGGACTTATTGACTGTTTATGAAGGTTATTGGACCTTAATGGGCTTCAGTCGCTCTAACTCTTAACGAACTATATAAATGCTTCGGATCAGTTACGAATTTTTTTCAAGATTTGTTTTAATTTTATTAATATCAAATAAATTACATTCATGGCAAAGTCGTAACAAATCTAAATATATTTGTCTCAGATTAGCTACAGATTTTAGGAAAATTTGTTTTGGTTTTTTTTAACATCGAATATAATTAGATAGGTAGCAAATACGTGGCAAATCTAAATATATTTATCTCAGATTAGCCGTAGATTTTATCAAGATCTGTTCTGATTTTTCTAGTATCGAAAATAATTAGATCCATAGCAAAGTTGTGACAAATGGAGTTTTTTTTAATTATTTAGTGACAGATCTTTTAGTTCATCTTTTTTATTTATTTAAAAAAAATAAGAGTTTTCTTTCTCTGTCGCTAATAGGGGCGACCACGGGTTGGGTTGGGTTGAGACGTTTATGATATTTTTACAACCCAACCCAATTATGGCGATTTGGGAAATCTCAACCCAACCCAACCCAACCAATTTAAAAGTATAATTCAACCCAATCCAACCCAACCCTTGCGGCTTAGGGCAGGTTGAGTTGGGTTGGCGGGTTACTAAAATTCATAAAATTGACAAATGAAATATGATAAATAATACTAAAAATATACCCAACGAAGTCATTACTTAGTACAATCATCCAAAAATATATCTAAATCCTCAAGTCTTGAAATCAATTTTCAAAAGTTTGATACGAGCAACAGACTTCCCATTTCCATATGTCAAAGTATATGTTCTTGGGAAAAGTTGGTGCAATAGGAGATTATGATCCTTATGTCATCTTGTTCTACACTGCTTTCCTGCAAAAGTTGGTGCAATAGGAGATTAGGAGTTGCACGGAACATTATTCAACCAAAGAGTTCAAAATAAATAAGAATAAAATAGGCAACAATAAATCACAGAAATACGTGTAACGATACACACAGAATAGTATACAACGATTTCACAAGAAATAACAGAAATACGTGAAAAAGAAGGTTGCTTACGTGACGATTTCAGGGTCGATTTTTGGTTACGTCTTTCTAGCTGGACGCTGCGAGTATTCAGGAAGAAGGCATCGGCAGACTCGGCGCGTCAAGGACGGAGGGTTGACGGTCAGGCTAACTGGCTAAGGCCGTAAGGGACGGACCGACGGAAGGTTTGTCATGGAATGAAGGAATCTTTGAGAATTGAAATTGTGAATTGTGAATTTGTGATGGAGAAAAAACTCAGAAAGACGTAACTTGAAGCAGGGACGTAAGGTTAGTGTTTCTAATTTCTATTTCTGTTGGGTTAACAAATAAGAGGTTAAAGGCTTAAAAGGCTAAGGCCTTAAGGGTTATTGGGTTAAGGGCTTAAGACCTTAAGGGTTATAAGCAATCCAAATTCCCAAACACCTCCTTAATTTTTGTAAATATCATATATATATATATATATATATATATTATATAGACTTCGGATCATGTGAGACCAAGATTTTTTCATGAAACCCGTAAGACCAATTCTCAACCCTTGGATTAGATCTACAATCTGAACATTCATAATCACAAAATTGTCATGAGACTTCTCAATAATCACAAAATTG